ATCCTGAACTCAGTGATGAAGCTTTAACAATCCATATACATTTATTCTTGATGAGATACCTGTAGGTCCATGCCACCCATAAACTATCTTTTCTAGAGCAAAGCCTCCAGAGGTGTTTGAGACTTGAAACTCTGTTGGTGAGGTCAAGGCAAGGAAACCCTAGCCCTCCACAATTTTTTGGTTTGCAAATGGCACTCCAAGCTACCTTAGCTCCTGTTTTCCTAAGCTCAGTACCAGGCCAGTAGAATAATCTCAGGATTTGATTAATTTGTTCAATCACTCCTAAAGGCAAAACAAATGCTTGTGACCAGTAGGTTTAAATTGAGTAAAGCACAAAACAGCCCTTCCTGCATAAGAAAGAAACCTTAATGTCCACATGTTAACTCTAGTTGTAATTATTTGTACAAATGTTTGGCAATTTATTGCATTGATGGCTGAAGAAGACAATGGCAGCCCTAAGTATGTGATTGGTAGCATCCCAATGTCAAATTGAAGTAACGATGTAATGTTTGCCTTTGTGAGGTTATCCACCCTTGAGAAGAAGACTTGACTTTTGGAAAAATTGATGGATAGACCAGAGGCTAGAAAAAAGTTGTTAAGTGCAGTATTCAATACTTCAACAGAGGCAAAGTCACCATGGGAGAACAACATTATATCATATGCAAAAGCTAAGTGGGATATGGATAACTTGCTGCATCTCCAGTGGTATTTGAAACAGGAACTTTGGGAGATAGCTTGGTTGAGGGACAAGGTTAGGACTTCCATTACAAGTACAAGAGCTGTGGAGATATAGGATCACCTGCCTTACTCCTCTCTTTCCTTTGAAGAATTCACAGAGTTGTGCATTGAGTGAGATGGAGTAGGAGTGTGTAGTAATGCATTGTGCAATCCAGTTGATAAGTTGGTTTGGGAAACCAAACAGGGAAAGAACACCAAAATGAATTGCCAGTTTATTGTGTCAAAAGCTTTCCTAAGATTAATCTTAAAGGTATAACAAGGTGGGTGGGATGATTTGTGGTAGCCATTGAGGAGCTCATGAGCAAGTAAAATGTTGTCTGTGATGTGCCTATTCTTGATGAAACCTGTTTGTGTGGGGCTGATGATTGAAGGTAAAACTATGCTAAGTTTGGAAGAAATAAGCTTGGAGATACACTTGTAGATTATATTACAACATGAAATTGGCCTATAGTCATTGACAGAGGTAGGGTTGGGTACTTTGGGCACAAGAACAATGTATGCACAGTTGATTTCAGAAAGCATTTTTTCATAAATAAAAAAATCCTTAATTGCAGCTATGATATCTTGGCCTATGATAGGCCAAGCATATGTAAAAAAACAAGAATTAAAGCCATCTAGTCCAGGGCTTTTGTAAGGATTAAAGGAAAAAATGCAATTCTGAATCTCCATGTCTGTGGGGATGTCTGTGAATGATGGTAGTAGATTGGCAGGAACAGACTTAGAGATTAAGTGTGAAAAGGAAGACATACCTGGATAATTAATTTGTGTAGCTTTGTCCCAATAGATTCTGAAAGTGGCTCATGAAAGCATTCTGAACATCCAAACCTTTCAGTACATCCCCATTTGAGTCTTAAATGTTAACAATCTTTCTTTTGTTGACCTTGGATGAAAAACACTTCATGAAGTATGCTGTGTTCTGGTCTCCAACTCTAAGCCAGTGGATTTGGGCTTTTTGTTTGAAAAACATTTCTTCAGCTAGGCACAAGTCAGTGAATTTCTTTGCAATTTCTTTCTCTTTTGATCTATACAAGTCATTAGCATGATTGTGATCAAATGACTGACTCCATTCATATGAGATTAAGACAAGGATGGTGATGATATCCTCTCCATATTACTAACAGGTCAAAATATAATTGGAGTATGTTGAAATGAATTAACCTGAAATCTACTTGTTCACAGTAAAATAGTGTCAACAATTATTTTCTTTTCTCCTTATATATATATATATATATATATATATATATATATATATATATATATATATATATATATATTGTTCTCTAGTTATATATAAAGAGTCACATAAATGTAATGATCCCCTTATATTTTGGAAGCAAGTATTGTCAAAATAAATAAATAATTAAAATAAAAATCATAAAATTGTTGCTCTAATTAAAGTGATTATGTGGACATGATATTAAAGGGTAATTGTTGGACCTGATTCATTTTTTTGTACATTAGGTCCATACCATTCAATGCGTTTTAAGTCCATAATGCAATAGTACTCATTCAACAAACAGTGTAACACTCGTCAACACTAGCTCCAATACCGTTTAATACACTTTTAATCGATAATGTAACAAGTTATATCGAAAATATTATCACACTTGTTAAATATAAAGAGAAAGTATAGAACTTTGTAATGTATTGATGTCTGAGATCTATAATGCAAAAGTACATGGGGGTTTATGTAGGAGATGTCATGTGTGGAGAGCAAGTCTTTACCATATAAGGTAATGCTATATATGGTAATAATATATTATATAATATATTCTAACAGCCCCCTTAAACTCAAGGTGGGTTATATAAAGTGATATTGAGTTTGGCAACAAGATCATTGAAGCGGCCTAGCGGAAACGATTTGGTGAAGACATCTGCTATCTGATCATGAGAAGTAATGAATTGCAACTGTAAGGTCTTCTGAAGAAGATGATGACGAGCAAAATGGCAATCGATCTCAATGTGTTTGGTACGCTAGTGAAAAAATCATTGTGCGCAATTTGAATTGCACTCCAATTATCACAATAGATAGAGTGGCAATTGATGAAGAAACTCCTATGTCTTGAATGAGCCAACGTAACCACATAAACTCAGCCGTAGTATTAGCAAGTGCCATGTATTTAGCTTCTGTACTAAACCGAGTAACTACAGTTTATTTCTTGCTGCACCGAGAAGTAGGTGAATCTCCAAGAAAGAAACAATAGCATGCATATGGTGGAACAACGATCTAAGTCATTACCATATGAAGTAATGTTATATATGATAATAATATATTCTAACAACACTCACTCAAGAAATAATGTAATACTCACGCAACACATTTACATGAGTATACATTGAGTACTCACATAACATTTTACGTAGAATTATAATATTACAACAACTTTACATATTATTACTGCATTATAGATTTAATAATGTTGCACTCTCTGCTATTGTGTAGGTGTTTATATGGTTGATTTAAATGCACCAAAAAAATAAATAAATAAATAAATAAATAAAAATATTGGACACAAAAGTACACCAAGGATTCTTATTCATATAATATGGTTTAAAATTGACGTCATTGAAGTCAAGTCGAGTTTTAGTTCTTGGAGAGACTTAGCCAAGAGAGAGAAAGAGAGGATGACGAGTGTAACAGTAACGTTGATTTGCATGTAAGTAGAATACTATTCATGAACAATGAGGAGGTAGCTAGCACAAAGAGAGAGGGAGAGAGAGAGAGGGGTAGGGACAGTGTCTCAGGCTGGTTCTTACTAAGACAAACCGACCAGAGCTCGCTCATCAAGGCACATGAAGGGAAGGATTGAAGCTAGTTAATTCCCGAGGGAGGAAAAATTCACTACAAGGTTGTCAAGTATTTTGTATGCTTGGCCCTATACACAGACATTCTCTCTCTCTCTCTCTCTCTCTCTATATATATATATATATATATCTAGAGATCTCACTCTCTCTAAACTAGCTAGCTTCGTATGGAGTGGGATAATGGGAGACAAAATCCAACCCTAATTTCCTGGCCTTGTCTTTGCTCCCTTTATCTTCTCACTCGTGTTGTGTTGTTGGGTTCATTTTGTCTTTTTTATTCCTCTCTTTTTTTTCAATTGCCAATATATCATATTCAGTCTCCATATATATTATATAGTTTTTGTATATGTATATAGGAGTACTAGCAAATAAATGGGTTCGGGCCGGTTTACCGCATGCACCCTATTCGTGAGATAATGCTGAACACTAATAAATTTTTGTATGTATAGTTTTTGTATGAGTGGATGTTTAGCTAGTTAGTCTGAATATCAATTTTATATATATATATATATATATATATATATATATATATATGCATATTAGAATACTAGCTAGCAATAAATTTGTGTCACTACCCCTAGTTCGGGAATTCTTGGAAAGTTTGATTGGAGCTAGAAATAGATAATATTGTGTTGGGTTGGAAAGCTTGATTGGAATTAAAAATAGATAATATTGTGTTAGGTAAGGTGAAAGCTGTTACAATAATATTCTATTAAAAAAAATTCAAATTATACTTGTATCTCTCTTAATCCGACCTTCCAATACCATATTCTATTAATTAGGGTTTTCAGTATATATCAATGATGTAACAGTAAATTGTTAAATTATGACCTTAAAGTTAGATATTCAAAATGAGCAATAAGTAAGATTGTGTAGATGTGACCGTCTCCATTGATGTTGTTACCATGTAATGAGGGTGTAGTCCCAAAAAAAAAAAAAAAAAAAAAAAAATTTGAACTTCATTGAGGAGAACCTAACTCCAAAAACTCTCACCTCACATTTTGGAGGTCCAGAGTAATTGCTTAGTCCATATGGGAAAATCCTAAATAAAAAATAAAAAAAACAGGGGAAAAATCACCTAACAGTGGGAAGGAGAGGATTAAATCAAAATGGTCTTGTCACTGTTCTGCAAGGGGTTTAAAAGGTATCAAAGACACCAAACATGACCCATTTATAATCGATTTATAAACGAACCAGAAACACACAAAAGTCCCAACAAAACCCCTTTTTACCGGAGACGGACAAGTTTAGTATATCTTCACCCTTTTACACTTTAGGTTATACTTTATCAACTTTGATTTACCCTTCACCTCTGTACTTCTTTTATTTTGGTGTTTATGTTCAGTTTCCACCTTTTTAAGTAGCTTTTAATCAACTTAATTGTTGTTTTAGATCACCCTCTCTCTCTCTAGGTCTTTATCTCTTTCTATGTTTTTGTATATATATACACACACATAGTATGAACCTACTCATCTTCCCAACTGTTTTCCCTTCCCAGTGGTACCACCTTTGATCATGACTGATCCCTATTCTAATTACATCAATGGATGGTTCAACCTACACCACCTCTCTTCCTCCACCTCTAGTTCTTCCAACCCTTCTCTCTACACTCCTCCTTTTGGCTTCAAGTACTGCATCTACTCCAACAAAAACAACAATATTAGCCCTATTTTGGACACAAATTACTATCAACCCTCACCTCCCTCATCTCCTCCTCTCAGAGAAGCTCTTCCTCTCCTCAGTTTAAGCCCAGCAAGAAGTACTGATCAAGAACAAGATCAATATTTACCTAATTGCACTGCAGCCATGGCCAAGAACAAAGAAGAAGAGAGCTTCTTATCTGGATCTGCTGCTGATCATGAAAATGATGATGATGATGATGATACTCATCATGTGACAGTAGCCCTAAATTTAGGGCTCCCTAGTCCTGCTACTTCTACTGATGCAGATCTGATCTCTAGGATTTCCTCATCAACAAAAGAAATGGCAGATAAAGAAGATAAAGTCACTGTTGCAAATGGTACTAATTATCCCACAAGCACACTCAACAAAGGCCACTATTGGATTCCAACCCCTACCCAGATTCTGATTGGTCCTACACAGTTCTCATGTCCTCTTTGCTTCAAGACCTTTAATAGATACAACAATTTGAAGGTACTATATATATATGTTTGCATGAAATGAACCTTGATCTTGTAAAAAGCTTTCCTTTCCCTTCATTTCTTCTCCTTTCCTTTATGTTTCTTAATTTCCTTTTGGTTTTGAAGAGAGAGAGAAAACCCAATCCTGTATCTTTCCTTGTACACACTTCTTTTTTTAGCTTAATTTCATCCTTTCACTTTTTATATATTCTGAGCTGGATTGCTATGAGAAATATATATGTATATTGTATAAAGGTCCTTGGTGTTTTACTTTTTCCTTTTTCTTTCCTCTACTTTACATATTACTCTCTCTCTCTCTCCTTGCCTTATTTTTTACATGATTTATGATTTTTGGGATTTGAATGAATCTTCCTGATCCAACTGAGGTCATGGTCAGTGCTTCTCTCTCTCTCTCTCCATGGTCTTTTTTTTCACTAACATAATTTATGGTTTTTGGGAGTTGAATGAATCTACCGGTCCAACTGAGAGAACATGGTCTGTGCCTCTTCTTATTTGATTGAACTATACAAGCATTATGCTTTTTCTTCTTGAAGTTTGTATTCTAGACATTGGCAGGTGTGTCAAACTGAAACTTTCTGATTTTTCTATGGACTCAGATGTATTCATCAGAGTGCAGGGAAAAGGAAAAAAAAAACTTCTCATTCTGAACACTCAACAGTCTCAACCTTAAAGCAGAACCACCTGTACACAGTACACCCACAACCCCCTTCAGATAGTATTTATATCTTTGTGATCAAGCTAGAGACCTATATATATATATATATATATATATATATATATATATATATATATATATATATATTTGTATTTGTACACGTATGTAATTAATGTGTATTCATGAAAATCTTATAACTTACACAGGCACAGTACTACTACACCAAATTCAAGTACTTTTGAACTATTTCCTTACTAAAGCTCCACACAATCTTGCTTTACTTTTAGTATTCTACACGGAAAATCTATATAGAACATATGTATACCAATAGGGAAATGAAATGACAACTCATTTAAGCAATTGGAATGCTTTTAAGCTCACTCCTATATATTACCAAATGCATGGTTCTTGATTTGGAAAATTTAATAGTAAATGGTTAAAGCCCGATAGAGTACAAAAGAGAGATCCTCCAACTTACCTCTGAAATCATAATTCAATGCTTTTCCATCTATACTTGACTACAACCCTTTAATCATCAGTGTACAGAAAGATCATCCCATTTGGGCTAATGCCCCTTGGTATGAATGATCAATATATTGGCAACCCATGTATATATGAAATAAAATTCTTAAGATACACTTCTAAAAGCTCGTGTCTTAAGTCTCACTTTGATCCATTGATTTTTTTTTTTTTTTTTTCCTTTTTAAATTCAATTTTTTTTTTTTTTTTCCCCAGCTACTTTGTGTATATATATCTATGATTTAATTTGTACGGTTTCCTATAGCTAGCTTATACATCTTTGTTTTTTCCTGTGATCTTTTTATATCTACTTGGGAGTGGCTTATACAATGTATGGTGTGTAGATGCATATGTGGGGACATGGATCTCAGTATAGAAAAGGGCCAGAGTCTCTGAGGGGAACACAACCAACAGCCATGCTTAGGCTACCTTGCTATTGCTGTGCACCAGGGTGCAGGAACAACATCGATCACCCGAGAGCGAAACCGCTCAAAGATTTCAGAACCCTCCAGACACATTACAAGAGAAAGCATGGAATCAAGCAATTCATGTGCAGGAAGTGTTGTAAGGCCTTTGCTGTGAGAGGTGACTGGAGAACCCATGAGAAGAACTGTGGGAAGCTTTGGTATTGCACTTGTGGTTCTGATTTCAAGCACAAAAGGTCTCTCAAGGACCACATCAAGGCATTTGGGCATGGTCATGCTGCTTATGGCATCGACTGCTTCGAAGAAGAAGAAGATGAACAGGCCTCCGAGCAAGAAAATGAATCCTCACAGGGAGACATATGAATTAGGGTTTTATATTATATTATGCTGAGATATGACTCAGGTTTGGATTTGAGTCCTCTCCAAATATATAATTTCACTCCAATTAAGCCTATATCCAACAATCAAAATCATATCATGTCGTCACTTGCACAACTAACTACTCAAGTACGTACTTTCTAATTGTTTTGATATATAATTTAAGAATAATGATGAGTAGTTTAAAAGTCGAATGTGTCATATTGTTTTATGTAAGTGGGGATGACTCTTACTCACATGATTTGAATCCAATGACCTCGACTGTTGAACTCGTATTATTTATTCATAATTTAATTCAAAGGAAAACTGTGATACGGTGTTTTCTTAATTGTTGGACATAGGCTTAGAGATGTTTGGTGTGAAAAATTATTGGAGATGATCCGGTTGCTTGCTTTCTGAGCTGATGTATGCTTGGTTTAATTAATTTGAGAACTTTTTCCTTTGTAGTTCCATTCTCAGCTTTTCCTTTTTCTTTCTTGTCTTTTTTTTCTTTTTCTTTTTTTTTTCTTTTTTTTTTTTTTTTTTTTTTCCTGTTCTTTTTATTTCTTTCCTTATAATTTCAGTATTTCACTAGTATTGCAGATTTCAATATACAACACTATGTACTAGACCAAGGTCTTCCGAGTCCAGTTTATATTTTCAGTTTAAAATCTCTCTCTCTCTCTCTCTCTCTCTCTGTCTATCTATATATATATAGATATAAATATATATATAATATATTATATTTACTTTACAAATTAATTTCCATTAGAGGATGGATTGTAGAGTTTGAGGCTTCCTAGCCATGCACTGATATATATATATATATTATATTTACTTTACAAATTAATTTTCATTAGAGGATGGATTGTAGAGTTTGAGGCTTCGTAGCCATGCATTGACAATACATTTAGCAATACTAAACATACAGTAGTATCCATGCATATATACCTGCGTTGTTAGACACATGATCTCTGTAGAGATATCAAATACAAATGCGAGAGACCTAAAGAGAATCCTAGAAGAATAGACTAGCTAGTGGGATTTGTAGTAGGGGTAGGAATGTTTTACCTCTATCTCAGTGCATTCAATGGCGTAGCCACATAGGGACAAGTGGGGCCAACTGCCCCCACTGAATTTTTAATTTTTTTTAATTTTATATGAATTTTTTTATATATATTTGTATAATTGTCCTTACTAAAATTTGACATTACACACACATATATATATATACTAGGAAAAGGCACGTGCGATGCACGGGATGAATGTTTTATAACTTATTGAAATTTTCTTTTCATATATTTTTTAATTAATTTATATAAATTATTTTATTTTTTTTAAAATATATCGTTGTCTAATTAGATTTTTTTTTATTAAAAAACTCATAGATAAATACATATATATGTGATAGAGTTTTAATGAAAATAAATTAGTTAATTTTTGTTAATTTTAAGTAATTTGTGTTACTGTTTTATAGAAACACTTTTAATATATCTCGGTCTAATATGATAGAGTTTGTGGTATACTTTCATAAAAATTATTTATTTTCTTTAAATATATATACACTTGTCTAATTAGATTATCTTTTACTAAAAAACTAATAATAAAAGGTAATTTGTGTTTCAGTTTTAGAAAAATTATTTTATTTTTTATATCAATTAATAAATATTTTTTTATTAATAATTCTTGTCTAATTATATTTTCTTTTATTAAAAATTCATAATAAATAAATAAATAGGTAATTGTGTTAAAGTTTTATATAGAAACTCTTTTAAAAATTCTTTTTAAATCAATTAATAAATATTTTTTTATGTTAATAATTCTTGTCTAATTAGATTTTTTTTATTAAAAAAATCATCATAAATAGATAAAAAGGTAAATTGTGTTAGATTTTTATAAAAACTCTTTTAAGACCTCTTTTTTATATCAATTAATAAATATATTTTTATATTAATAATAGTGTATAATTAGATTTCCTTTTATTAAAAAAAAATCATAATAAATAGATAAATAGGTAATTTGTGTTAGAGTAACTCTTTAAATATATCTTTGTCTAATGTGAATGAGTTTAATTAGGAAAAAAATAGGTAATTTATGATAGAGTTTTATAGAAATTATTTTATTTTCTTTAAATATATCATTGTCTAATTAGATTTCTTTTTTAAAAAAATAATAGTAAAAGTTAATTTGTAATAGAATTTTAGAAAAATTATTTTATTTTATATATCAATTAATAAATATTTTTTATATTAATAATTCTTGTCTAATTAGATTTTATTTTATTAAAAAAACTCAAAATAATAAATAGATAAATAGGTAATTTGTGTTAGAGTTTTATAGAAACTCTTTAAATATATCTTTGTCTAATATGATTGAGTTTTATCGGAAAAAAAAAAGGCAATTTTGTATAGATTTTTATCGAAATCATTTTATTTTCTTTAAATATATCCTTATCTAATTAGATTTTTTTTTATTAAAATATCATAATAAAAGGTAATTTGTGATAGAATTTTAGAAAAATTATTTTATTTTATATATCAATTAATAAATATTTTTTATATTAATAATTCTTGTTTAGTCTAATTAGATTTTCTTTTATTAAAAAACCTATAATAAATAAATAAATAGGTAATTTGTGCTAGAGTTTAATAGAAACTCTTTTTATATCCATTAATAAATATTTTTTATATTAATATTTCTTATCTAATTAGATTTTCTTTTATTAAAAAACACATAATAAATAGATAAAAAGATAATTTGTGTTAGAGTTTTATAGAAACTCTTTTAAAACCTCTTTTAGATCAATTAGTAAATAATTTTTTATATTAGTAATACTTGTCTAATTAGATTTTCTTTTATTAAAAAACTCTCAATAAATATATAAATAGGTAATTTGTGTTAGAATTTTATAAAACTCTTTAAATATTATATCTTTACCTACTGTGATAGAGTTATAGTGAAAATAAAATATATAATTTGTGATTGAGTTTTGTACAAATTATTTTATTTTCTTTAAATATATTTTTTTCAAATTAGATTTTATTTTATTAAGAAACTCATAATAATAAATAGATAAATAATTAATTTTAATTTTATTAGGTAGATTTTAAAGTTTAATTGAGTTTTTTTTTTCTAATAAAAACTTTTTCCATATGAATTAATAAATTTTTTTTAGATAAATAAATAAATAGAGAAACTCTTTGCACACTTAATAAATATTAATTTTTTATACAAATAAATAAATACTGAAGTTTTAGATTTTTTTATTAAAAAATTCATACTAATAAATATATAAATAAGTTAATTTGAATTTTATTAGGTAGATTTTAGAGTTTTATAGATTTTTTTTTATATAAAAACTCCTTTCATATCAATTAATAAATATTTTTTATATAAATAAATAAATGTTGCAACTCATTGGCGGAGCTTCTGTATTTCTGGGTCTATGCATCTCTGAATTACTCTCTTTATATCAATTAACAAATATTTTATAATAAATAAATAAATAGGTAATTTATGTTAGAGTTTAATAAAAAATCTTTTAAAAACTCATTTTATATCAATTGATAAATATTTTTTGTATAAATATTTCTTCTCTAATTAGATTTCTTTTTATTAAAAAAACTTATAATAAATATATAAATAGGTAATTTGTGTTAGAGTTTTATAAAAACTCTTTGAAAACCTCTTTTTATATTAATTAATAAATAATTTTCTATATTCATAATATTTGTCTAATTAGATTTCCTTTTAAATATAAAAAGCTAATTTGTGGTAGTGTTTAAAAAGAAAAAATAGGTAATTTATTATAGAGTTTTATAGAAGTTATTTTATTTTATTTTAAATATATCCTTGTCTAATTTAATTTTATTTTATTAAGAAACCCGTAATAAAAGCTAATTTGTGTTAGAGTTTTAGAAAAATTAATTTATTTTATATATCAATTAATAATTATTTTTTATAGAAGTAATTCTTGTCTAATTAGAGTTTCTTTTATTAAAAAATTCCTAATAATAAATTCATAAATAAGTTACTTTCAATTTTATTAGGTAAATTTTAGAGTAAGCTAATTTGTGATAGATTTTATAGAAAATTTTTGTTTTCTTCAAATATATTATTGTTTAATTATATTTTTTTATTTAAAAAAACTCATAATAAATAGATAAATAGGTAATATGTGTTAGAGTTTTGTAGAAAAAATTTTTAAAACTCTTTTTATATGAATTAATAAATATTTTTATATTTTAATTGTTCTTGTCTAATTCGATTAGCTTTTATTAGAAAACCTCATAATAAAAGTAATTTGTGGAAGAGTTTTTGAAAAATTATTTTATTTTTTTTATATCAATTAAAAAATATTTTTATATTAATAAGTCTTGTCTAATTAGATTTTCTTTTATTAAAAAACTTAAAATAAATAAATATATTGGTAATTTGTTTTAGAGTTTAATATAAACTCTTTAAAAAACTCTATTTATATCAATTAATAAATATTTTTTATTTTAATAATTCTTGTCTAATTAGATTTACTTTTATTAAAAAAAAAACCCATTATAAATAGATAAATAGGTAATTTGTGTTAGAGTTTTATAGAAACTTATTTAAAACCTCTTTTTATATTAATTAATAAATAATTTTTTATATTAATAATACTTGTCTAATTAGATTTCCTTTTGATAAAAAAAACTCACAATAAATAGATAAATATGTAATTTGTGTTAGAATTTTAGAGAAACTCTTTAAATATATCATTGTCTTATATGATAGAGTCTTATTAAAAATACAATAGGTAATTTATTATAGAGTTTTATAGAAATTATTTTATTTTCTTTAAATATATCATTATGTCATTAGATTTAATTTTGTTAAGAAACTCATAATAAAAGCTAATTTGTGGTAGAGTTTTAGAAAAATTGTTTTATTTTATATGTCAATTAATAAATATTTTTTATATAAATAATTCTTGTCTAATTAGATTTTTTTATTAAATAATTCATAATAATAAATAGATAAATAGGTTAATTTAAATTTTATTATGTAGATTTTAGTGTTTTATATAGTTTTTTATTTTATTTTTTATTTTTTTAGTTATTTATAAAAACTCTTTTTATATCCGTTAAAAAATATTTTTTATATAAATAAATAAATAATGAAACTCTTTAAACTCTTTTTATATCAATTAATAAATATTTTTTTATATAAATAAATAAATACTGAAACTCTATGGCAGAATTTTTATATTTTACTTTGAAATTCTAAATTTCTAGAATTCTCAATTTCTGTACCCATTCCTCCTTCCTCCATGCCTTTATTTTTATAAGCTTCTTGATTAATAGGATGATGACATGTATCATTTTCTGATAATGACATAATCATAACTGGGCTGGGCCGCTTATATTGTGATAATTATGCATAAATATTTATTCTTTTTATATTGAACTAAAAATAAGTGTTTTATATAAAATGT